ATCGCGTTACGGTCGACCGTTCATATGTAACGGTTCAATAGGTTGACCGTTTCTTGCATGCGTGCACGTAATTTCCTCCTAGGTCCCACGTGTAGGATCGATTTTTTGGAACTTCCCAATGGGTCACCCATCCTGGGACTAATCCTGTTCCTGCTTAACACAAGAGTTCTGAAGTTAAAGAGGTGGCAAATGCTTCCTAAAACCAATTGGTGATAGGAAGGTGGACACTTACTATTTAACCACATACTCTGTAGCCCCAAGCCGAGATAGATTCTTATATGGCACCCCCTACAGTTCACTACGGTAGTGCGGAAGCCCACTACTCAGCAGTAGATGGACATGAGGAACTTCGCATGATACACGATGTGAACAGTAGTCGAAAACAGTGTATCTTCTATTATTATAAATAGGAACCAAAGCCTTATAAGGAAGGCAAGCAATAAAGAATCTACACGACTCCTACTTTGTAATCGGTCGCTATATAATAAATAACAAATTGGGTTACATGTAGGTTTTCCTTCACTTAATATTACGTAGGTTTTACACCATCAGTAAATATGCTCTATATTCATTAAACCACAACACTACAATTTATGAGTAAATAAATATCTTATAATCTCAAATTCAAAAAATTAAACTATATATTTGTCAATGTTTACAAAAAATACTAAATCATATAAACTAACTACAAAATTATTGAAATAAGTTTAACAAAAAAAATACCTCCATGAAACAAATAGCAGACGCAGATCTAGTTTGGATCTTGCAAATGAAAGATCATGATAGGAGGGGTGAATTTGGTGATTTAAACTTAAACACAGTGGGCTACTCCGTATCAGTGTCATTAAACCCAAAAGGAGTTTGCTACACTGCTAGCAACCTCTTTTTTTCTTTATTTAAATATATGGGGAGTTTCCCTCTTGTTTTGCTGTCAGTTTTTGTCATTTTTGACTAGGCTACTCGTTGGATATTTGAATTGGACATTTAGGCTACAATTTACATGTACTCCGTCGTGGGTAAATTTCACATATAGGTTGACTCTCTTGACCCTGTGAACTCTCAGACACCTTTAAACCAATTACAGGGATCATTTTAGAGGGATCATTTTAGAGGTACAGAGTAAAAGGACTTGCTTTGGGATTGTGCTAGAGCCTCTTACCAAGCCAGGCTTGAATTTTGTCTAAGTAAGCTTGAAGAAAGGTGTCCTGAGGCTAGACAGTGGCTTAACAAAAGACCAACAAAGAATTGGTCCAGGGCAGAGTTCAAAACATTTGTGAAATGTGATATGTCAACAAACAACCTGTGTGAGTCTTTTAACAAGTACGTTTTGGATGCTAAGGACAAGTCACTACTGCCAATGCTTGAGATAATTAGGACTAAGTTAATGAAGCGCTTGTCAACCAAAAAGAAGGCCATGACAAATGTGAAGGACACAATATGTCCCAAAATAAGAGCCAAACTGACAAAGAATTTTGAGCATGTTCATCTATTCATTCCTACATTCTCTGGAGGACCAAAATATCAGGTGGAAGGTCCAGGTGGTATGCAATATGTGGTAGATATGGTTGAGAAGACATGCAGCTATAGACGTTGGGATTTAACTAGCATACCTTGCTCTCATGCAATCTCTTGCATTCTTGATAACAATGAAAACATAGATGTCTATGTTGATAAGCATCCAACTACATTGATCTCTACAGTCACTATATCAACCCTATCAATATGATGGAAATGTGGCCCCATGAAGAAACTGAAGCTCCAATTCTCCCACCACCACCTCCACCTAAAAAAAGAGAAAGAAGTAGAAGGAAAGAAGAAAAGAAGCATAGGAGCTTGAGAAAGGAAAAGGCTCAAGTTAAGCACCTCCACCCAAGATGCAGGTTCCTTATAGCACAATGAAGGAGGAAGATAAAGCAAAAAAGAAAGGTGCGCATGAAATGCACTGTCTGTGGTGAAATTGGCCACAACAAAAGGTCTCACTCTAGTAAAGGGAATGGAGAATCAACACACAAGGTAACCCATGTCTTCTAAATGGTTTGCTCAATTATTACTTTTTTATTTATGTGGGTACATGTTTGAGATGGAATATGGGTTGTGTGTAATTGTGTATTTGACAGAGAAAGGGTAAAAGGAAAGCAACAACAGCTAGAGACGGAACAAGAAAGAGGAAAGAACCACCAGTGAAAGGGAAGAGAAAGAAGAGAAGCAAATCAGGTCCAACAGAAGAAGATCATCCTGCTCCAGTTTAGTATAATTCACGATGTTGCAGCTGTGGTTTTTTTGGTTTTTGCTAGCTGGACATAGAACGTGGTAGTAGGGACTACAATATTCAAAAATTGGTCATTTTGTATTACATTATGTACACCTTTGATATTTTTTTTGGTACCCCTATGTTGGTACTCTTTTTTGTAAATGGGCAATCTTTGTGCCTTTCTTGCTGTCTTTTTTGGTTTTTGTTTGATTAACAGCAAGTAAACAATGTGGCATGTGTATGTGCATAAACTTGTTAGCTTCCAATATGTGAAATGAAGCATTTTGTACAATCCAATTCATACCTTTTCAAGTATATCGTATTTCATTCAAGACATTTGTGTACTTTTCTGATAGAAAACAAAGTTTGTATACCGAAGTGAAATAAATGTCAAACTTGGTGTACCATACGTGAAATTTACCCAAAAGTTGGTGTACCATACATGCAATTCACCCCAAAGTTGGTGTACCATACGTGAAATTTACCCCAAAGTTGGTGTACCATATGTGATATTTACCCTTTAAAATAAAACAACATGAGAGAACTTGCTGCCATTTAAAAAACCACACTTGAACAAAAATCAGTCTACAATCATTCTGCATAATAAATCAGTCTACAATCACTCTTGAACAAAAATCAGTCTATAATCATTCTGCATAATAAATCAGTCTACAATTACTCTTGAACAAAAATCATTCTATAATCCACTACACGACAACATTTCACCAGGCTAAATAAATCACCGGCCACTACTCTAACACTCTTGGCATACACAACCCTTACAATTGTAAAACAATAAGAAAAAAGCAATCAACACTATCAAGAATAGACAAATCCAACATGTGTGACGTCTACATAAACTCTTCTCCTTCAGCTTCTCTTCTCTTATATTCTCAACCTTCCTCATTAAGCCAAGAATGACATCTCGATATCGTGGATGAACTTCTGGATCTCTCCATTCCATGAACTGACAAAATTTCGGACTCTACCAAAACAAAAAACCCCTTTCAACCAAAATCCCAATCGCAACGACCATCCATTGAAAAGTTCAAAAATTTCAGTACACTTACCCCATAATTAAGACACCCAACGAACCGCCTTCCAGAATTTGAATCAGCCCATGAGGTCTTCCACACTACAGGTTCACGGCATCTGCAGTAGTGCACTGATGCGCGACAGTAGGAGCTGTTGCTAGAGACGGTAGACATCAAATTTGAAAAATCTCTCTCAAAATTAGGGTTTCTAATTGGGACAAGAGGATGGAAGAAAGAGGGCTATATATGTAGAAAAAGGGAGTCTCTCCAACCCAACGGTTAATTTTCTTCCTTCTTTAATGGCTTTGTCGGATGATGATGCATCCGAGGAGAGAGGAGAGAGAAGAAGGGAGTGATTTAAATGGGTGTGCCGAGTAGGCATCCACATAGGATTGGTAACCAACTGAGTACCTGGAAACCGACTAAAACACCGTCGGTGAAAGAGTATGTGGATGCCGGTTTTGAATGGGTAAAGGGCAATTTTGAAATGAACACCTTTTTTCTTTTCACATTAAAATTTGTGCTAGTAAGAGAAGTTTCAAAGAGGGGAATGGAAATACTCCCTCCTCCGTCCTAAAATGTTCTTTCCACTTCTCCTTTTTCTCCGTCCTAAAACTATCTTCTCACTTTCAAAATTAGGACGTACAATGACTATTATACCCCCTCACCATTCCCCTCCAACCTTCCCAACCAATCTCATTCTCTCAATCATGTCTTCCTCGCTTTCTCACTTCCCTCCCCAATCCGATTGTAGATCTAATCTTCACCGCCGCTAGATTTGTTTCTTCGCCGGAATGATTGTGCCCAACTTCAATCCGGTCAGATCTAATCTTTGCCGCCCAACTTCTCCCTAATCCGATTGTAGATCTATTCTGGTCAAATTTGTTTCCCGATCGCCGATGCCCTAGCCTAGATCTATTTTCTGATGGTCGCTGCCATAGTCCACATCTAATTCTGGATTTTCGATGTGTGGGAAACCTAGGTTGCAAGGTCGCCGCTCCACAACCCACATCCTCCCACCGTCGTTTAAGTTGCAAGGGAGCAATAACCCACATCCATCTCCGATCGTGACTAGCCTTGAGGAAAAGATTGCCGCCGCCGTCACCGTTCCAATCGCTAGTGCCATTGCCCGGCTTCACCAATCTCCCTCGACCTCTCCCTATGTTGCTATGTGTAAATCGAAGAGAAAGAAGATTCTTTTCTTGAGATCTGCTTTTAATTGAAGAAAAATAAGAGCTTTGGTAAAATTATTTTAACTTTCGCAGTGCTTGTTTGATATTTGTTAAATTATGCAATTAGCCTTCAATATTGTTCTTTCCTTCTTAGAAATTCTTTCTTTTTGGAATTCAATACTTATGTAGATCTTATGAACTTTTTATAATTGTTTTATTTCTAACTTTTAAAGCTAAAGGCATATTTGGGAAGTCAATGCATATTTTACACTCTTAAAAATGGCTTAAAGTCAAACCGGAAAGATGATTTTAGGACCGAAGGAGTAATGTTTCTTTAATTATTTGTTTAGTGTTTTTATCCAATCACCCTTACCTCGTAATGTTTGAGTCTAATATATCTACATATAAAACTAAAAATCCACAAAAATGATTTGGCTAAATTATTTTTACAAATAATCAACGAAAATACTATGTTTGTATTAGAAAGTAATACTCCGTATACAAGATAGTACCATTAATAGTAGCTGGAATTTTTTTTATAGAACGAAGGGAGTATTTTTATTGTCTTTGTACTGATCAAACTAAGCTACCCCCCTTCAAACCAAAAAAAACTTGATGTAACAAGAGTAACATAAACACATTTAAACATCTCATCTCATCATGCACGGGGTTCGCTTAACTGTTTGGGATGTGCATGACTCATGCTCGGCTATATAACAAGACACGTTCAGGTTTGATACACTCCTACCAAAACCAAAACAATGCTTCCCTGGAAAAAAATTACATGCAACAAAAGGATATATCGACATAGAACCATTATTCATACAGTCAAAGCTCTACCTTCACTTGGACGGCGCCGCTACTAGTCTAACTCCCCCCTGCAGTTTTGAAAGGGAATGGTTAAAAAAAAAGGAAAAAAGAACTTTGAAGAACACTTCACATGAAAGCAGTTATTATTCTTATGGTTTTGCCAGGGCTGTGTTTAAGGATGAAATGGAAGAATTTCAATGAGCGAACTTTGAAGAACACTTCACATGTAAGCAGTTATTATTTTACCCAATGAAATGCTTCCATCGTCCTTTTAGCAAAACCTTTATTCTTAAAAGTAGAATTTGTTCAGCTAATAAGAAATTGAAAATAACAAAGGTGGATTAGTACATCTCTATCTATAACATTGACATCCAATACATTCACCTAGACTGTGATGAACACAAGTCCGAAATCTAACTATGAACCCATGCAAACCCCATATAACAACAAATCGTGTAGAGATTATCACCAAGCCAACCACATACAGCTAAAAAAGAAGCAGATTTGTTATGAATTAAAAAAAAACACTGCCCAATAAGGATCAAAAGCGCATGCCAGATATGGTCAAATACTTGTTTGGTGAGTTTTGGAAATATGATATGGATTTTGAAATTTGGGTGAAATGATTTTGAATTCGAAATCTGAAATGAAGTTGCTTGAAGAGATCTAAAATCATGATTTAATTAGTGATTGGCGGGGCCGCTGGCAACGGGGGTGCTTGCGGTGACAGTGGTAACCGGTAGCGAGGGATGATTGACGGTTGGGGAGATATCAAATCCCTACATTGATATCTCCCAGATATGGGAAATGTCGAAACCCTCCATTTAGAGGATTTGTGATATCTGAAGATATTGAATTCAAATTCTTTTTATGCCTCACCAAACACTGAAAAAGAAATCTGATATCAGAAGATATGGAAACCCATATCTCTTACGCTCACGAAACGGGTTCTTAGTGTCTATAGTGGTATCAAGTACTAATTCGCAACACTACAAAGGTCTATCTTTCCTCCCCCGTTTTCATTTCATGACTAAGAAAAAAAACAATAGATTGAGCATTAGTGTATTAGATTCCATGATATTCGTCTAAAAAGACTAATATATTTTTTTCAATTTTCTTAAAGTGAGAAAATATATTTCAATTTCGATACCCAAGCTTAGTCTACATTTACCCTGTAATTTCTAATCAATAAGGTGTAACTCCTAAACAAGAAGTAGAAAAGTTCAGGCATAGCTTATTAGCTAATTAATGACATTTAATAAGATTACAACAAAAGATAATTTCAGTCATTCTAGGACATTATTCTGATAATGATAAAAAAACAATTATTTTAAAACAAAAACTCACAAAACTATATAGTCCTGAGCTTCCCTATTGCGTGCAGCACCGCATATCCAAGAAACAGGAATAGTTACAATTTACAATCTAAGTGTGTGTTTGGCAAATAGCATATTACTCAGCATTATGCTGTTTTTTTCTTGGCAATTTGACCCAAAATAACATTTTTTACTAGTCATAAGACAAATTACCAAACACTTTAACTATTTCATAGTATTAGCATTTTGAATACAGTTTTTTAGTTTTACTTTTTTCTGCATGATGCTAAATTGCAGAACATGATTTTTTAAAAACAACTGGTTAAGCATGCTATGACAAACCGTTAACAGCTAGCTGCGACACCCTCCTTCCATTCCCACTTTCCTTTTTTATACATCCTAAAAAGATCTTATATTCTTATCTCCTCTTTTGGCACACACTTTTTACTTATTTTTAATATATTAAAAAGACACTTTTAATCTCAAGAACCTATGTATTTACCGCAGTTTACTACAATTTTACTGTAGCCAGAAAAATGATGGGGATATTTAAAAAATTTTACTCACTCTTAATCTTTGTGTCACTTTCACATGATCGGGTCAATTTGGGACGGAAAAAGTATGTTATCTATTAACTCTTTTTTGCCAAACACTACCTAAAACTGAAATGGGCAGAAACTTTTAAAATGTTCCTTTAAATTGAAGTCATTAGTACTATGTTGTTCTAATACAGCTCAAAGAGTTCAGTTGATACCAGTGTAACTTGCAAGCAATGATGTAGAACGTTCAACACTAACCATAGGAAACTATGATACAGTTTTAATATGTCTTCAATTTAGCAGCGGCTTTTCTGAGCTCGTCTCCCTGTTGCTGGTAATATAAATGGCACAAAGAGCTAAAATTAAAGACATGGTAAATTCAGTCAAGCATGGATAATATTGTGCTGAATTAGTGTACCTTGTGCAGCGTCTTCCAGCAGAATTCAGATCGAGACTGCCGTAATCGCCACTCCATGGCCATTTCATATTCAATGGTGTTGGGTTGAGAGCAGTGAGATGTAGATACAGCTTCTTTCTGATCAAAGGTACTTTTCAGAACTCAGAGAGCTTCTTACTCATAAATAAATAAATAATCAGAATAACTCAATATCATTGTAAGATATTTTGTGTGTGATAGAGAGAGAAAGAGATCTGACCATTTCTCTTTGCATTTGATGTCTAACTTTATCAATCACAAGATGGCCAACAAATGAAGAGCTTCTTTGGGATTTGGGAAGTGCAATAATGTCAGCAACAAGTGGCCTGCAAATATAAAGAGTTACCGCTACCATACCACAAAGTTTGTTCCTTATTTCATTTGGGTCTGTCGATGGCCTCTTTATTGGGTGTGCATTTAATTTTCAAATTCCCTGGTTCCCCACTAATTACTCAGTCAATCAAAATTAAAGACTACTACCCCTGTCAGTAAATGCAGCAATGCATCACCCCATCAAGGGTGTAACAGAAAAAGCATCTATATTTTAGCAGGGTAAAAGTGTACATCTTGACCGTCAAACTCCAATAGTTTTGGAACTATACTGGGTTTGTTGAGAAATATAAATCATTATTAGGAATATTAACCTAAAAAGAATTAAACTACCAATAGGAAACAATTAATATTCTTAATAATAATAATAATAGTATTACTAATAATAATAATAATGATAATAACAACAATAGTTACAGTTATAATAATAATAGGAAACTATTAATACTCTGCATTAATAACAATAGTAGGAAGCTAATAATACTTTGCACCAACACTTTCCTCAATCAAACAGAATCATATGCAAGCCCTGGAGTAGTTAAAAAGCTACTGTTGGCATTACCTCACAAAGCATGGAAGCGTTAAGCTCTGTTCTTTTGGATTGGATAAAGAGAATTGCATGTTGGATGAAGTTGGAAAAAGATGAAAAGAGTTGAAATAAACTAGGACTTTAAAAACTGCGAAGGGATGGAAGAAACGGGAAAAAAGTTGGAAACAGTGGGAAAACACTTTAAAGGAATTGAAATATATATTACTCCCTTTTTCCTGAAATAAACTTCAGGCTTTAATTTCACAAAGTCCAAGAAAAAGTGTTGGAAAGTTAGAGGATTATTGTTTCTTCTCCAATATTTGTTGTATAGGCATGTATTCACATCACTGACTTTCACTGGCAACCAAGGAAGGTTTGTGATAACAACTTAAGGAATATATACATACATACATACATACATACATATACATATATATATACATATATATATATATATACATATACATATATATACATATATACATATATATATATATATATATATATATATCAGTATTACTTTCATATTTCAAATTCTTTTTTGGATGAAAATTGAAAATTCAAGTTTTAATCAAATGTTTGATTTGGATTTTCAAACCTAAGAACTTTAAACCAAACTTTTGCATAGGGGTGTGCATTATTCGGTCCGGACCGACCCGAAACCCGGCCAAAACCGGACCGGACCGGTCCGGACCGGTCCTTATTCGGTCCGGTCTTCGGTCCTCAATTTTTCCTTATTCGGGTTCCGGTCCGGTCCGGTCCACCGGGTTTCGGTCCGGACCGGTGGACCGGTTACATTTTATTTTTTTTAAATATTTTTTTTCTATATAGTATTATAATATTGTATTTTTTAAGGTTTTTTCTAATGCCTAAAATTAGTTTAACTTTAATACTAAATTTTTTTTAAATGTTTTGATTTTATTATTTAATATAATTTTTTAAATACATTTTCAATTCAAAATAAGATACCAATTCTAATGATTTTTATATATTTTAAATATGAAAAGTGTGAAAAAGTAAACATTACCTTTATATTAGCGATCTAATGCATTTCAAATTTATATACCAATACTATCACTTAAATTTGTACTTTATCAATAATGAAACGATAATCCGCAAAAACAAACATTGTAAAAAATCTCATGAACAAAAATAGTAAAAAATGTATCCGTTTGTCAAAATAAATCGAAAACTCAAAAAAATATTACAAAAAAGCAAAAATGAACGAAGAAGTAGAATATTCTCTATGTAAAATAAAAATTACAAAAATTTTTTATGTAATACGGATGGAAGATATATATTTTGTTTAAATTTTTTTTAAAAATTCAAAACAAATGTGTTTGACAATGTTTAGAGTATGTTACAATTAAAAATTAGTTGTAGTAATATTTTTATTCAATTGAATACTTTAAATTAAACAAATAAAATCAAATTTTAAAAAAAATTAAAAATAACATTTATTCGGTCCGGTCCCGGGCCGGTCCTTAGCTTAATCGGTCCGGTCCTCGGTCCACCAAATGCCCCTTATTCGGTCCCGGTCCGGTCCTGGTCCGGGTTTGACCCGATGAACACCCCTACTTTTGCAAGAAAGAGACTAGGCATGGTGTTAGCTACTCCGGATTACTTGTGCTTAACATTCCCTTTAAATGGAGAGGGTTTACTCAAGTATTATTTGTTCTCTGTTGCAATTAAGAATTGAATTAATGTTTGACTCTGCATAAACTATTTCTTGTGAAAATATGCTGCCCTGTATATTGTTTTAATATCATTTCTTGTGAGTTTCAATTTCCAACCCCATGCTACTCTGACAAGAGACAAAATATACTAATATTTTGGGTACCACACTGCACAATCTCAAATATGAGATGAGCTACTAACAGGTTACCCTATGTGTGCGCCTCTATCGAAAAGAAAGCATGTGAAACATAGGTACCTCAAGATATATTTTCTGAAAGGAAAACCTCATTACAGCATGGCAAAAAACATATTAAAGCCAAAAGGCAATTTGTTTTTACAAATAAAAATAGAAGGGAAATTGGAAAGTTATATATTCTGCTTCGTTTTCACTCAGGAAATTACTACATATAATTTAAATTTGTAATCTTCAAGACTACTTGGATCGTGCATTTTATTTTGAAAAGTAGAAGTTTTTTACTTCAGTTGGTGTGTATTCGATTTGTTTTCCTGTTTGTTTTGGTTATGATTTTCTTCATTTAGACATTTTTACAGATAATGTTTGTCTAAATAGATGCTCTTAGTTACGGACATATTATTTTACTCAAATCTTTCCGCTTTAATAGAATTTGCAGTACTTGTATGCACATATTTACACTTGACATTTCCCTTTTGGTGTTGTAGGTTTGATATAAAAAATAAACCCGATGGGGCTGTATGATTTTTGCAAGGAGCTCTATAGCAATAACATATGTTGGAGAATCTAAGGTCCCAACTGCTCTTAAAATCTGCATCATGTGTAAACATTACTCCGTAGAAAATAGAAGCTGCTTTGTGCCTCTTCTGTAAACACTACCTCTTGAAGGGGTGTGTAAAAGCTATCGTTAAGGGTCTTCTAAATCAAGACGGAAACTGTCTTGGGTCCCACACGCACAAAGTGCGTCTTAAGCTAGTAATAATAATAACAACAATAACTACAACAATTCTAATAATCATAATAAAAATAATAAGAATACTCATAATAATAATAATTGGAGAAGAATGCATGTGAAAAAATCAATTCAGAATGAAAAAAATTTGAAGCAGATAAAAAAACTAGGAGCTAAAAGAAACTAAGAGTTGGAAGAAACTAGAAAGAGTTGAAGGGGTTGGAAATTAACAATTCTAACCCAAAACAATTTAGTAGCTTGCCAAATGAATGATTTTTGCAAAGTTGCATGTGCCTTGCTAGTAGTGAAATAGATATTTACTATACCATCATTCAGTGACATCGCCTGTGTAGAACCGACCACAAATTGTTGGCTTTCAAATTAAATATTGGATCGTTTAATGGTGATCTTTAATGGTTTAATGGCAAGTTCAAGTTTGATAACAGCTTCCTCGTGTGCACGTGGTAATGATAGTAGAGGAGTAGAAGGTGATTGAACTGGTGAAAGCAATGTGGCTCTTGAGGGCGGACACAGAGTAGACAATGGAGTTGTTGGCTCTATACTCCACAACATATCTAATAGCCTTGAATTTTGTGTATTAAATAGTGGAGACACTGGAGATGGTGGTTACAGTTGTGGTTTATTGAAACTGAGAATACACAATATTAATTGTCATGAATAAAATTACGTGATTTACATACTCCCTCCATTCTTGAAAACAGTTCCGCCCTAATTTTTTGTGCACCCCATACAATACTTTACTCTACCTAAAATGTCTAAAATATCTCCAAAACAACTTCCTCCCGCAATAAACTACATAATGGGATGTATTTTAGACATTTTAGGTGGAAGTAAAAGTACTTTATGGGGTGCGCAAAAAATTAGGGCGGAAGTGTTTTCAAGAACGGAGGAAGTAATATATTGTAATTCATAAAATTCAAAGTTTAATATCCAATGAAACAAAAATGTTACAAACAACTTTGAAATATTGTTCAAAATTGGAAATTCAAAATATTACTTTAAAAAAAAATAAAGGGTTAAATATGCTTTTAATCCCCGTAAAAAAAGCAACTTTTGTTTAAATTGTGTCCTTCATCAAACTACATCTCATTGTTTAAAGTTTAGTATATTATATTCCCAAGAAATTTGGAAATTGGAGATGTAATATGAATAAATATCAAATTTAGGGAATGAGAATTGTGTCGGAGGTGATTAGAAATGAAAGACTACGAAATTGAATATGAAATAAATGTGTTATCTAGCAAATAAGAAGTGATATTTACGTTTAAGAACTATTTTCAAGGATGACTTAAACAAAAAAATTTACAGGGACCAAAAGCAAAAGTCGCCTATTTTAGAGGGCCTAGAAACATATTTAACCCAAAAATAACAAATAAATCAAAATAGTACTCTAAAAAAATAGGCCTCCTCGACGAAGGCTTAGTTACTCTTAGATAAATCAAACACGTTTAAATAAATAAGTTGTTTGTATTAGGCCATGTCATTGATACGGTGTTGAAGTCTCATGTTTAAATCACTTCTTTCTAGTTCTACCCTGGTCTACCTCAATGCCTCTTCAAATCTAAACTAAAAGTAAACAAACTCCTACAAAGGCACCCCACTACCCCTATGTCTCTCTTATAACACAAGCCATGTGTCAAAGTACCATACCACTATGAATTAAAAAGGACATCACACGAGGAAGAAATGAAAGAAACTGTGAATTTGAAAGGGAGGAAAGCAAATGGAGAGGGAAAGAAAACAAAGGGAACGAAAAGCAAGTCTATACCATTCCTAAAGCTAATTTATGATATATTCTAAAAGGTATAATAGTAACCCAAAGGAACTAAATATTCAATGAAAACAACAAACTCAGTATAATCTCAACTATGTTGGTGGGGTCAAAAAGTATGCAACCATACTCCTATAAAAAGCAATAGGTGGTTTCTCTTAGCCCCATGATGCATTGCTGCAAATACTCCCCAAAAGATCATAAAAAGTATGAAGCGAAAGAAGCTTAATGTGCTATTTTGATTTAGTCCATAATTAAATAAAAACAAAAACTATCAAAAACAACTTTATCCGATCCATTGGCAATGGGAGGAACATAGTCGACAACAAAAATTAACAATATTTAGGCATTATAATAAATCAATTAGAGAAGTCAAACCTTTGTTCTGACACCAATAGGTATCTATTTTTTAACATTCTTATGACCTTCTCCGCTGCATCTCTTGTTTTAAAAATAGCCAATGCTTGACCTAGCGGAAAAATAGAAATATATTTAGTAAACTGTAATAGGACTTTATGAATTAATCTTTAGTCAGTAACATGAGTATTCACAAGTCCCACTTTAAAGATCAAGAGCGCTTATGCTCGCAAAGTACAAGTGCCATTCATGTGTCTAGAGTGATAAAAACTGGGTCTTGCATCCAAGTTGATAGGAATCTTTGGGAGTACATGGTAGAGGTCACATCGGTGAATGAGAGCTTGATGTATATTAAACTAGTGCTTAGTAGTTGTACATGTACTTTCAATCAAGATTTGAGAGCTTATGCTCCTCTAAGTAAGGCTGGAGAAGGACTTTAACAAGATGTGGGAATATTTGGATCAAATCGTTTAGAGTATCCCACACACCCAGAAGCTAATAATAGGTGCTATTTTAATGGCTATGTTGGGAGTTCATCTTTGGAGTATGAGGATGTGCATGGTGGCTTTTGTTTTGGGGGCAGGAATGTGAGAGTAGTCTCTCTTCTAGAGTATGTAAGCAGCTTTGACCACGTTAACGGCAAGTTCAAGATTTATGAAGCAATAAGAATACCCAGTCACTTTTTGTAGTTTGTTGGTGAAGACCCAAATCAATTATACAAAAACCTAGTATAATCCCAACTTTGTTGAGGTCTGGGGCCAAGATGTACAGTCTTAAAAGATGTGTTGCTGCATTTACAACCCAAAACTTCACACAAGGGAAGTTTAATGTTCCATTATGATTTAGTAAACATTGACAAAAAAACTCTTTAGCTCTATTGGCAATGCATGAAAATGTGAGAGGTTGAGATTAGGACTCCAAGGTTACTCTGAGTGAGAGCCTATTGACACAACATAGGTTGCTAACAATGGATGTGGAAATCAAATGGCCTAAGAAGAAGAGAGCCTTACGCAAACAATCTCTTATTAAGTGGGGACGAGTAGGCAAGTTTAAGAGTCAAGAGTAGGCAAATAAGTTGAGGCTAGGGTTTTGAGGGTAGCATTAGGGGATAATAACATGTATGCTAGAACTGCTAATTGCATTAGGGATGTAGCTAAGGAGGTGTTAAGGGTTTCAACGAAGCTATTTGTAGGATGACGAGAAGACAAGGAACCGGGCCAAACAAGACCCCAATATTGTTCTCGAAGAGTACAGACACGGGAGGGATCGAGTAGTTGACTAAAGTGTATAATGTCTTTTTAAGAAGGCCTAAGTATCACAGGTGGAGTATGATAATTTGATAACAACACTATGAAAGCATGTTAACACATTTGGATTTATGTTGGGGAAATACACAACTAAAGATATCCACATTTGAGGAGGTTGATGATAGGGATAGTTCAGTGAAGTGTATAATGTCATTTTAAGGCTGCTAAAATTCCTAAGGAGTGTAGGTGGAGTATGATAATTCGATAACACTATGAAAGCATGTGAACGAGCGGTTGACAAGAAGTTAAGGAGGTGACTATTTCTGAGAACGAATTTAGGTTGGGGCAATCCACAACTAAAGACATCCCCTTTGAGGAGGTTGATATAGCATTACATACATAGAAACAGGGATCACAAAGTGGGATCTACAAATGGTTAAAGAGAAGAGACGCTTCCAAGAGACCCTTTGACTCAGCATAGCATATCAAAGGCGGATATGATTAAGATATTAGTAGTGATTCTACTCGAATATTTAGGGTCCGTTTAGTAACAAGGAAAATAACTTCTGGAAAATTACTTCTGGAAAATGGACCATTTTTCTTTTTTTTTTTGAAGTGGACCATTTTTCTAAAGTCATTTTCCTTTTATGGTGTTTGGCTGGAAGTAAGAATATTGTTTATTTCTGTTTGGTTCATTTTCAGAAAATGAATATCCGGAAAATGAACAAAATACATTCCACTACCACCTCCTCCTCCTCCTCCTCCTCCTCAGTTCATTTCACTCTTGAAGCACAATACACAAATGGCAGCAAGCAACCATCACAATATCAAAAAGTAGAACATAGAATATCAATTCAGCCCATTCCTTTCAATTGGAATTTTCAAAATCTTTTCAACACGAAGTATAATTTTGAATTTTTGATCAATCAAACCTTTTTGGATAATCAACCCAACGCATTTGTAAAAAAATATTACGAAACATTCTGAAAAAATCCAAATTATAAATTAAAAATATAATAACCTAATTCCTACCAACTAAGAGGGTGAAAAGAAGATAGCCATGGAGTCGCCATCATGAAAAAAGCATCTCCTGCCTGAATCGGTGGCTACCAATGCACCAGAATAAGAGGGTGAGAGTATTAGAAATTGTGCTCCCTAGGTCAAGGTCGACAAAGAAAGAGACGATTGAGAGATGGGCAAAGAATAAGAGGGAAGAAAGCAATGTAAATGGCCGGAAAAGGCCATTGAGACAAGAAAAAAGAAGAAGGGCGGAGAGAAGAGGGACAATGAAGAAGCTGGATGGAAGAGGAAGGACGCAGTGCAAAGCGGAAAACAAGTAAACAACTTCCAGATTTCAAAAGGGGAAGCCATTTTCCGCTAATAAGAGCGTATTTTCCATTGACTAGAGCAGTATTTTTCATTGACTCCCAAATTTATTGCCACACCAAACACCAGAGAGGAAGGAAAACGACTTCATGAGGTCATTTTCCTGCTATCCAAATGGACCCTCAGTTCACTTGGTTTATAGGAATATCCTATAAGACATTTCAGCGTCCAAAAAGGAAAATGAGAAGAAAGATATGGGACGGAGAGAGGATCTGTTATCAAGCTTACAAGTGCCTTGATTTGTTGAACAACCTTCTTCCCACCTCATTGAGTTTCAAGATCTTTCAACAAAGCAGATCATTCTTAAGGGATATGACTATGAGGGTCTCTATATTCACGAGAGTGAGATACCTAGAAAAGTTGCTTCTTAGGAGGTAGAAACTCATTATGAAGTTTGCTGTCGCCTACATCATCCATCCCTTCCCTTCCTTTGTTGAAGAAATTGTCACCAGATTCACAATCTAAATTACTTGTACTGTCTTGCAAATTTGCTTAACATCACTTTGTGCATTTAAATCCCAGAATAAACAAGCATGCGTCCTCCATTTGAGTTGGTTCATTCACATGTTTGGGATCCTCGTAAAGTAGTGTCGAAACCTAGATTCATGTGTCTTGTTTGCTGATGATTACTCTCATACGGCATGATTCCATTTCATGGAGTCGCTCAGAATTGTTCTTTTGCTTCTGCTCTTTTTGTACTAGGGATAAGACTCAACTTGGTTTTCCTCTTTGAATCCTGCAAAGTGATAATGCCAAGGATTATTCCCCTGATCTGTTTACGTCATGCATGAGTCGAAAGGTATTCTTCACCAAACATCTTGTGTAGACACATCAGCACAGAATGGGGTGCTAAGAGGAAAAATAGACTTGAAACTGCGAGAACTCTTTGGACAATCCCTCAAAGAGATTGATTGTGACATCACTCATCGTGTCGAAGTGGGTTGGGTGATATAAAGGTTTGTGCCACGAGTCTCATGCGACAATGGTGTACCACCTAGAATGAAATGCAAGTTTCATAGACCCATGGTTAGGCTATCTTTTATGGGACAGAGCATTGGCTAGCAAAGAACAATAATGTGCAGAAGCTAAAAATTGCAAAGATGATGATGCTTGACACTAGACCTGCAAATAGGTCATTCGGGTTGGGTACTGTTGGATGTACTTTAGGCCGAATGACATTTAGGTCAACGCATTTCAAGATGGGTTCGGATTTGGGGGGGGGGGGGGGTNGCCACGAGCCTCATGCGACAATGGTGTACCACCTAGAATGAAATGCAAGTTTCATAGACCCATGGTTAGGCTATCTTCTATGGGACAGAGCATTGGCTAGCAAAGAACAATAATGTGCAGAAGCTAAAAATTGCAAAGATGATGATGCTTGACACTAGACCTGCAAATAGGTCATTCGGGTTGGGTACGGATGGATGTACTTTAGGCCGAATGTCATTTAGGTCAACGCATTTAAAGATGGGTTCCGATTTGGGCGGGGTTATGTTTGGATTGGGCCAACTTTCATTCAATATAAGAATATGGTTTGGGACTTTGGGTTCGGGTTGAGTTCAAGTTTAAGCTTGCGATGGGTCAGGTTAGGGTGAAGCTTAGTTGGGTCGATTTGGGTATGAGTCAGGTCAATGTCAGTTTGGGTAGATTTTGGTTAAGACCTAACTTCAGGTAAGAGCCAGGTGGTAAAATTTCAAGGTCGGGAGGGGTCAAATAAACTTAGAATTCAGTTTGGGTAGATTATGGTTAAGATTTTGATCAGGTTATTTTGGATTGACTTAGAATTCCAATATAATTTTGTGAGGTTTGGTGATGTGAATGGAAGTTGAAATTGGATTAACCAACCATTTCGGGGCCATTGTTAAGGAAATAGATAAAAAAAATACAAATATGTTTTAGTCCTATCATCATAGTTGTTACGGCAACTAGGCGAGGTCGGACGCGAGAGTACCTTCTAGTGCCTAGGCGATCCGGTGTCTACTACGCGAGTGCAATATGGCGATGTGTGTCTATATATATATATATATATATATATATGTATGTATGTATGTATGTATGTATGTATGTATGTATGTATGTATGTATGTATGTATGTATATGTATGTATATATATGTATATATATATATATGTATATATATATAGATTTTGGTTCAGGTGAGAATGCGATCTTATTAAAGAAATAAGAATGAATCTTGTGTTTTAGATTGTGAGATCTAAGGGTCAAGATTGCATCAAAATTAGGTGCACCAAAATGGTTTGAAAATGCATCATGCCGAAATGCACCAAAATCCTTTGAAAATGCACTATCTCAAAATCTGAGTGCAGGATGCAATCTGAGCCGCACGATGCATCCGATCCAAAGGCTAGATTTTATTCTTATTTCTTTCACCAAGGTGCATTCTCACCTGAACCGGCCCCTATATATATATATACGGCCCGGTTCCAGTGCCACTGGAATCCCACCCATATATATATATATATATATATAGACACACACACACAACACACACACACACACACACATATATATATAGAAAAAATGAATAGAACATTTGTTACAGAAAGTGAATAAAATACAGAAAAAAATCCCCATTGCCTTAAGTGTTTTCAGGCGCGTCCATATCATAGCGCCTAAGTGATGCTAGATGATTGAGATAATAGGGTTCGTTAGGCGACATTTTTGTTGGGGGAAAGGGTAGTTTAGGTTGGTGGGGCATCTATATTGTAACTTAGATCTGTTTCTTGTGATTATACTTCTGGTATGAGTGGCTTGTTACTTCTCTCTTTTTGCCTCTCGTACTCTTTTGATAGAATATTTGTATTAGCCATACCTTTGTTTTTTCTCTTTATTTCATCATAAATACTCCCTTTGTTCCTATATTGTGTTATCAATTTGGTGTAACATGTTTGTCTCAAATTATTTTCTATTCAATTCGTTTAAAAATTGGTGTAGATAAAAAAATTAAGTTTATATATTTATACACTACATCAAAAGCATTGTACTACAAAAGCTGGCTTGCCTATTTTTATTATCAAATGATCAATTAAAATAAGTAAGGAAAAAAGATGTGGTTAGACCCTAAAGAGTATCTCTTGTGTTCTTGGTGTTCTTTTGAGGAGGGGGTCTTTGAAAACAACTGCTCTACCACTTTAAGGAGGGTATGCTTGAGTACACCGACATTGTGGACTTTCCTAGGTTGGTTTTTGTTGTGGACAAGTCCTGCATTAGATTTCTATTTGTAATTAGAATATTGAGTATAGAGACGTGCCCCACAAGTATCACATGCATTCCACAAATGTATAGAGAATAGCTTTTAAACAAATATTCATACCAATATTAGGGACTTTATAATGTTGCTTGTTGTTGTTGACAAGTCCTACATTGGATTTCTATGAAATTAGAATATTGAGTATTGAGATGTCCCACATCAGTTTTCTGTTGACTTAGAATTTCACATGTATGCAACAAATGTATAGAAAATAGCTCTTAAACAAATATTCATACCAATATTAGGGTTAGAGAAAGCACTATGCTGGATCATTTTTGCTGAACATTTCTCTTTAAATGCATACCAAATTATATCCTGCGAAGATAAGACCATCAGTGCAAAAAACAAAGTATTTAAGAAAAATTAGTGCGAAAGGTGGTTTTTCGGCATTGTGTTCGCCAAAAAAAGTTGTATACCTCATCATTTCCCAAATTGGTGTATACCTCCGCACTCATTTGGGCATAAAACCTATGAGGCGTCCCACAAGGCGTAGTTTTACCATGCAATTACGATCTTTGTGTAAAACAATTCAAATTTTAAGGTATATACCTCTACTTCTACTGAGATGTACACAGGATCCAGATTTCGGAGTAGCACAAGTGTCCCTTGGTCATTTGCAGTTTGCATTCTTTCCTCCCACGACTGAAAATTAAGTAGAATGAATAAAAGCTATATTGTCATGAAAGACTATTCAGTGTTTTGTAACATAGTGTATATATTTAAGATCAGAAATTACTAAATTAGTAAATGAAATCCATTATTTATATGGAAGGAACTAGAGTTTGCAAACAGGTCGATTTGATTCTTTCAAGGTCGGCTTATTTTGGATTTTGGTTGTTTTGCGTAAAGGTCGACAGATGATTGTTTATGACCGATGTGTTTGGATTTGGGCCGTTTATATTACTGCATGTGTTTTACATAATACTCCGTATTTTGCACTTTAATAGCCTTCCTTTGTAATCATTCTCAGAATTAAATTGTGTTGTAGGCTTGATTATTCACCTTCTCTATGTGATGCAAAAACAAAATTAATGGGTGTTGTTTTACAAGAAAGAGAAACTTGGAAAGTACTTACAAGTTCCTTGAACCATGTTATTGACTCCTGCAATGTATAAAGAAGATTCCATCAGACCGAGAACTTACAGGCATAGATAATGAGAATAAAAGAAAAAGTAATCATACAATGTACAAGTGATAGATACATCAATACATGTTTTGAGGAATAACAATAAACAAAATACAAAGTTTTCTAGGACACTTCATCAACAATGATATCAGGTCCCATATATGAAAGCTCAACCATCACCTATGACACACTAACATCCAACACAAAGAGAATGAAAACTATAGTAGATAAAAGTTGATATTGAACGGGCATCAACAGAAATGCGAATAAAATGTTTCAAATTACAAGAGATGAGAGGAGACATGATAAAAAACATTGAAAAAAACTGCATTATCGAAAACACTGAAAATTGTTGTCTATACATATCTGCGAAGCAAATTTGTATACCTAGTACTCTGTACAACAAATACAATACTTTTGAAAATTAATCATCTAAAGAATTCAGCTGAAAAATTTTAAATAGGAACTGAAACTGCTCAAAATGATAAGTAGGCAAATTTAAAGGCTTCTGCATCTCTTTTAAGATACTCCGTAACATTTAACATATACTTTCATAAATTCCTTAATCTTTTTAGTCTTATTACTGTTTACCACTTTGTTTAAACCATCAAAAGATTAAACAAAATTTCAAAAACTTAAGCTTTTGGATATTTCATTTCTACTTTTTCCTGCCTTGGAGAAAAGATCACCATCCTCACTGTAATCCCAAAATAAACACACACCACTGGGAATGGGGAAGAGTGTGTACAAAATTTAACCGACACTTACTAGCAGACAAAGTGACAAACAGCTCATCCAAGAATTAAAAAATCAAGGCTATGACAAATAAAATGAACATGATTATGTTCCAACAACCGTGCTACCAAGCCCCTATTCTACGAAATAATGACAAGGTGATGCAGTGTTTTAAGAGTAATGGTAACTACTAACTAGTAACGTTGTTTTGAAAGGCAATGAGTACAAGTAATGTAATTGATCACAACTTATAGAGTAGTGTGATTTCTAAATACGGAGTAATTGATTTCAAATTGTACAATGGAATGGTGGATTCTAAACAACTGCAATACTATAAGAAAGTTAACCAATTACATCTATTCATGCAATGCTTAAACGAATTGGTTTGAGATTATCTCTAATCATTTGGCCTAATGGAGAACACCCACAATTAGCAAATTGTCAATACCATCAAACATTGCAAATCACAAAATGGCAAAGAAGATGATGTCCAACAATCTCCTATTTATGTTATTGTGTATCCATGTTAGGGTCCACATACTTCTGTGAAATGCAACATCCTTAAAAGAATATTACAAAAGGAGCTATTGCCAACCCCAAGAAAAGCAAAATGGAGTGAAGGCAAGGTAGATAGTCCCACTTTGAAGGGCAACCAACCAGAATAAATTTCCCCTAGGACCGAGCAATCTCTACACCAATCACAATGCCCAAATGGTTACGTATTCTGAAGGGCCACCAAGCAACTCACTCTAAGGTAAAAACTAGCACCCAATGTTGCAAATCAGCCTCTGCTACCTTTTCAGATTTTTTTTACCTCGGACTTCTAGTCCCAACCACCACGGCACAAGTGATATTCACCATTGAGTTCAATTGGACACTCTTCCAACACTCCCCAACACTCTCCCTCTTGATAGGACACCTTTATCTAGATTCTTGGCCAAACAACATCAATAACAACCAAGTAAATACTCGCAAATGGGGTATAGGAGGGTGGGTTTACGCAAACCTTACCCCTACCTAGAAAGGTAGAGAGAACCCAAAGGGTAGAGAGACACAAGCAAAGAAGACAGTGCTTAGTATAGTTCAACATGATAAAAGAAAGCAAAAGAGAAACGGTAAATAACAACAGATAAAGGTAAACCTAACTAAATCAAATTCATCCTGAAAGCCTTACATACAAAGAGAAACACCCCTACCGAGACCTAACCTACAACTTTAGTCCTCGACTTCCACACGCTCTCATCTACGGTCATGTGCTTCAATCAGTCATATCAATCGATGCGAGACACTCCTCAATCGTAACCGAAAGATCACTATGAACTAATATATCAAGGATTCGTGCATTGGGACTACTCTTCAGACAAAAGTAAGATTCGCACTCTTCACCTCAATACCCTGCATGGGCAAGGGATTAGCAATTTCTTTATGCGATTGAACAACAAATTTATTACATTTTGATTCCTAAAGTGTGCGGATAGATCCAGCTAGTCATTGACTATTGATGTCACCAAATTGTATGATAGACTCTTGAGAAAGAGCTAAATCAAGTCATGCTCTATAATTTTCATTCACACATTTTTAAGAAGATTGAAAGTAAAGTAATCTCTGGGTTGTTGTGGGATTCACCTGGTTTGTTGTTGTTGTTGTTGTTGTTGTATCTATTAATACTCAAAATTTTTATTTACTTATGTTTTGAGTTTTAGTACACCGAACCGAATACATGTTACACCGTACCGCTTCGTACCGAAATGAAGCTACCCCCCTTCATACCGAATTTGTCACCTCTAGCAAATTTTGTACCCGTACTGGATCGTACCGCGATTTAGGTGACTTATGTCTGTGACAGACTCCCATACACCCATCTCTTGCACTTGAGTAATCAACTCTGGGATTTTCTCCCTACCCATACTCCTCCACCCAATACGTGCTAGACTACATGTTGTTCATCTAGGCCTTACCCACTTGATCATGACATCTATCACGAGCAGTTGGTGTTGCGTGGTAAGGTTCTCACTTGGATTACTTTAGCGTCCTTACAGATCACCCAATCACCCCCACGCAGAAGAAACTAATCTATCTGTGACCTCCTCATTCTACTAACAAAGGTAACCAAAGGATCCTCTCGTTTGGGGAAGCGGGAGTTAGCGATCACCAAATCACTCGCTCTAGCAAACTCCAAGAGTGCAACACCCGCTGTGTTCCTATCACCAAAGCCAAATCCACCGTACATCTCCTCGAAGCCCTCAGCTAAGTCCCCAATATGTCCATTAAAGTTGCCTCTAATGAAGACTTTCTTCGTCTGCGGAAAACTACATACCACCCCGTCTAATGAATCCAAAAAGTCCCCCTTAACTTCGTCCTCCAAGCCATGATGAAAGGCATAAGCACTAACGACATTAATAGCACATCCACCTAAAACTAGCTTGATAGCCATCAATTGATCACTAACCCTCTATACCACTACCACAAACTCCTGCAGTTCCAATGCCACCAAAATATCCACTCCATTCCTACTCCGAGCAAAGCCGGAATACCACAACTTAAACTCGTCCACTCCCTGCACCTTGGTGCCCACCAATGTGGTATCTTGCACATATGCGACCTGAATCTTTCTCCTCTTGAAAATTTGCACCAACTCAATCAACTTACCTGTGAGAATCCCTATTTTCCATGGGCCGAACCGCACAAAAGACCTACCCCTCTGCAACCCCCCTAGCCTGCCCTAGCTCCAGGATATGAACTTAAATTTACATAGCTAACCAAAGCCACTATGCTCATAGAGCAGCACCTACAAAAAGAGAACAACAGCCAATACAATCAGTAGTAAAAAGGGGATAAGAGAAAGTAAAAACGCATAGAAAGCAAAGGGTAGGAGAAGGCTGAGGGTGGTGATGGCGGAAAAAGGATGGGTTGGCAGAGGGTGGGATGATGGTGGTGGGGTGCAGTAAAAGTAGGGGAGGGGCCAAGAAGACGGGATCTAGGGCGGCGACAATTAGAGGGGGAGAAGCGGTTGTTGAGGGATAT